GTGCGCCCAGGCTCTCTTCCCGCCCCTCTGTCCAGCGCCTGGCATCCTCCATTCCTTCCCCGTCCATCCCTGTGCTTAGAACAGCTGGATATTGACACAGAGCTGGTCTCACCCATCCTGCTGGGGAAGAGGCTGGGAGAGTTTGGGGTCTCCTTGAAATATTAGTCACCTGGGGTCCCTGGAGAGCCAGGCTACAAGGCCCTTGTTTACCAATCAGTCATTCACACAGAGATTTTAAATACCACGCAGAGTTGGCAAATCCAAGTGCCCAGGGCCTGGGCCTGGCTGTACCCAGAACTCTAGTGTGAAGACATCTGACGAAGAAGGGGCCACCTAGGTCCTAGTAGCCAGGCAAAGGGGACTGAGTGCAGCCCGGGCAATAGGGGGGGGATAGGGGGCAAATAAGGGAGTGGGGTGGCCAACTGGGACATGCCCTCATCCCAGAAACTAACAGGCCCACTGCCTCCCGGAGGCGGGGCCTGTGCACGTCCTGTGTAGGCAACTCTCCAATCCGGGTCCTCCCCGAGTCCTGCAGCACCAACTCCACCAAGCTCACAGCAGAGTCGTGCTGGTGAGTTTGCTCCCAGGGGCTGATGTCAATGGAGTTCACCCGTGAGCCATACAGCCGTCCCTGTCCCACCCCAGGTCGGTTCTCCCTTATAACTTACCTCAGTTTCTCCAGACTCTCCAGTCCTGCTGCAAGATGCATCTCCCCAAAGCCCTGCTCTGCTCCTCTCCCACCTGAAACTTCAGTGGTTCACTGCTGCCTTCCAAAACACGCCACACCCTTCACCTGCTGGTGCAGCTGTCACAGAGTCTAGGCCAGTGGTTTCCAAACCCTTATTCAGTGTACTTAAAGGCAGGCTCCAAGCAGAGCCACCCACAGACATCTGATTCGGCAAGACCAGATGGGGACCCAGAGTCAGCATCCTGATGTGCACCTGGGGGCTCTGGTCAGGTGGTCCCTGTGCCACCATTTGCAGAACCTGAGTTCAGGCCTTGTCCCTCCAGGCTCTGGTCTAGTGTCCCCTGTACATTCCAAACCTGCTGGGCCACACTGCTCCCCAGCGCTGGTGTTTCTTCCATCTACCTGGATGTCACGAAGTCTCTCCAGATGGTCTTGGCTGATCACAGAGGCCACCTGTGAATGAGCAGGAGGGGTTCCTGTGCCCCTCGGCACCTCCTCTCCCAGGAGGGCTATGTGACAGGGGCAGGTGTGACCCATGGCGCAGGAGGGCAGGGATGATGTATATGCATTTCAGATCTAGGGGTGATGACAAGAGTTGGGGGCAACTTGTGGGGAATTCTGTTTGGAAGTGATACGTGCATGTCATGACAGAAGGCGGGTTTGAAGGGCATGTCTGTGTAGAGATGGGATGTGTGCGTTGATGGCAGGGTGTGAACAGAGACAGGGTGTGTGCATGTCTGGGGTGAAGAGAGATACACGTGTGGGGAGAAGTGAAGCATGTGGGAGGGACACGTGTATTGTGTAAGACACAGGATAAAGAGGGCCTTGTGTGTGTCCTACCATATGAGGGGTGTGTCATAGCACAAACCATGGGTTTACAGATGGATACAAAACGTATGTGCTCTGTGTGGTATGATATGGAGAGTGTGTGTTTGTGGGAAGCATATGAGTTTGTAGTATTTGTGGGGTGTTGTGGCAAGGGGTGTATGTTGGGGAGACACTGGCTGCCAGGGGCATACACAGCATCAGAGTGGGTGCAAGGAGGCCTGGGTGTGGTATTCCACATCAACCCTCTCCTAAAGACCACATCTAAAGAGCTCCCGCCCTGTGGTGAGGCCCTCTTCTATGCAGCTCACTCAGAACCTCCCTGACCCCCTCCCGCTTCTGACTCACTCAAGGCTGCCCTTGAATACACTCAGGACCTTACAGCACCCCAAGGGACAGTGTGCAGCCCACTCCTCATATATACTGCCCCCATGCTGCAGACCCAGTGAGCCAGACAGGCAGCTCCCAAAGGAGAGCCCATGTACGTCTCCCCGTGTCCCTGACTTCTTGGCTCGGTGTGATCAGTGGACCTAAACTGGCACAGCGATGCAGCACAGTGACTTTATCTCTCTGCTATTTCTGGATATCACACCAATGTCCAGCCTTTTCCATTCCCACTCACCACAGGATAAAGAGGGCCTTGGTGGAGCCATCAATGCAAAACACAGCTGGAGGCTGAAGTCCAACATCAAAGGTGTCAGCAGGGCCACATGCCCTCCGAAGCCTCCAGGGGAAACTTCTTGCCTCTCCTCAGCTCCTGGTGGCTCCAGCAACCCTTGGCATTCCTTGGCCTGGACTGCTGGGAGCCGTCAGGGAGAGTCCAGGCTCTGCCTCTGTCTTCACATGGCTGTCTTCTCCCATGTCTCTTCTCTCCTGATGACACCTGTCACATTACCTTAGGGACCCACCTGCTCCAGCATGTCTGCATCTTAACTAACAGCATCAGCAGTGACCCTGTTTCCAAATAAGGTCACATTTGGGGGTCCTGGTATTTAGGACTTCAATATAAACCACTTCCCCTCTCTCACTCCCCCTTCACCCTGAGCCCTGCAGGACTCCTGTGTGTGCTCTCTGGAGTCCTGGAGCCCATGGCATTGAACAGACTGGAACCTCCGGCACCCAAGTAACAACAGCAGCACACAACTGTAAGGGGCTGGGCAGCTTCTACTCTTCATGGGCTGTCCCCTGTTTGGGTGCCACCCTTTGCAATGAGGAGCTGCATCCCAGCCACCTCCATCAGAAGTGGCCAAGCTTCTTGCTCTACATAAGATCACCTCTGTCCCCACTCGGGGCTCTTCTCAGCTGCCATAAAATAACTCAGATGTCAAAAACCACAGGCTGGCCAGGTGCAGTGGCACACACCTGTAATCCCAGCGGCTCAGGAGGCTAAGACAGGAGAATCGTGAGTTCAAAGCCAACCTCAGCAACAGCAAGGTGCTAAGCAATTCAGTGAGATCCTGTCTCTAAATAAAACACAAAATAGGGCTGGGGATGTGGCTCACTGGCCCAGCACCCCTGAGTTCAATCCCCAGTACC